TGTGTAACTTCTCTTCCTTGTACTCATCAAAGGTCAATTTAGTTTTGGATTTAAGGCAAGTGGTATGATTATGTTAGAGGATTGTTCTAGCAATCTGTAAGATATAGAGAATACAAGACCTTTTCTAAATGAATTTTTCACAACGTAAGTTTTAATATATAAAAAAGTTTTAAAAAAGAAGGAAGAAGTTAGGGAGGGAGGAGGTGGAAAAGTTGGTGGAAGGAAAGGAATACAGAAAAGGAGAGGAAATGGAGGAGAAGAAAGAAGAAAAGGAGAGCCAAGAAACCAAATGTATTGCTTATTTCCTAATTGAATAATGAATCATACATTTCTTCTTTTTGTAGTCTTGTCAAAGGCCAGTGTTAGAACAGTTAGTCATTTTATATACCAAAGCAGAGGTAAATCAGCTAATAATAAAAAAAAAAGTTCTTATCTTGACTTTTCCTTTAGAAGAAAACAACAACAAAAAAAGAATCAGTTTCTGTGACCCTTGACCTTTGAACTCTAGCCTCCTGCCAGGAAAGCACTCAGTACCTCATTTAATCTCTCCTCTCTGCACTAGTATAGTGCTGAAGAAAGGAAAGAGAAAAAAATAATCTGGGGACTTCATCAATTTTTCATGAATTTTCATTTAGGCCAGAACCCCCTCTTCCCCTGGTCGATAGATCAACTGCTGTCATATATTTACCACCTGGGGCTACAGCTGCTATCTCTAGGGACCTCCAGGAGATGCATCAGCGCAGCCAAGCTCCATGGGAGGGCTCCTTGTGCTCCTTCTGCTCCACACACCAGCACTTGTCCAGGGCTGAAACCCTATCTGCCCAGCCTCACCAAGCTCTCGCTGGTCCCACTGGAAAACTATTAACTGATTGAGGACCAAGTCTACTGGCTTCTGGCTCTGCAAAGCTATATTCTCACTCTTAAGACATCGCATGTTGTAAGACACTCCTTAGGTTCAAGTGGCCTAAAAAGCAATTGTAATTGCTCTGTTCTTGTTTTTGGCTTTTGCTTTTGTTTTTCTCCCTAAACCAATTTTTAAGAAGAAAGAAAACAGTAATAATGAGTTGATTCAAATCTACTGAAATAATTGGTCCTGAATAGCTATTTTTTCTTCAGTATTTTCTTTTTCTATATTCTAGTTTTCTCTGTATTATCCCATTAAATATTAACTTAAGTTGAAGAACAGAGAGAGAAAGGGAGAGAAGAAAAAGTAAAATCAAAGTAAAAATCGATGGCTAGTCACAACTTTCTCACGTTGCTACAGCAGAATACTGTATGTTTACCTTGAAAATCAATGCCAAACAATTTTCATACTTTTATATCAACAATTAGTTCCCAGTAAAGGCTTCAACAAGTTGTCCCATTAGTTATAGATACAGGAACTGATCATGGCAGCACACCTACATCTCAGGGACATTTTGCAATGTGTTCAGACATTTTGGGTTGTCATAACTAGAAATGGCAGACAGTCTTATTGGCATCTTATGAGAAAAATTCAGAGATGCTTGTAAATAATGCAGAGTGCAAGTCTACAGAAAATCTGCCATAAAAAAATCTGAGGATGACACCCTATCTTCCTAAATTGATGCTAAAATTATCTGATGTTTAATTCCTACATCTACTTCTAACCATTTCTCATTCCCACCCTTACCACTATTTTCAGCATAGAACTTAAGACTAAGCATTTTTTCTGAATTGTTTGATAGATTCTTAAATCCTCTCTGACTTTTTATGATCCCTTCAGTAAAACATCAATTCAAAGACTTGCCTTGCATATAACAACAACAACAAAAATCTAGATTTTATGATTCATAATAAGCCAACTGTAAAGTCCTCCATGGGAAGGCAGAGAAGGTTAAGTCTCTGCCCAGTAATTGTGTCACCTAGGTAACTGGCACACTTGGAGGCAGTCATCCACCCCTTCACCCCCCCTCCACCGCCCAGGTCACATCTGCATCTGGTGTGGCCACACCTTCTCCTGCCCCTGGCCTTGATAAATCTTGGCCTGACAGTGGTTCAGCCTTTTTATTCGTACGGCTGCATGGGTTTCCAACTTGACCAGAGGTGGCCTACAAATAAACCTTTCCCTTGCCTGAATACCACATGCTGCTCTCCTTCCTCAGCTGCCAAGTTAATTTACTTAACACCAACCTTTCCAACTCATTCTACCCACACAACAACCCAACAAGTTATCTACAGGTTTTCAAACACTCGGTGTTCTATATTGCTTGCTTTCCACCTACCATAGTCATCATTCACTTAAATTTCTATCTTAGACATTCTCACCTGACTTTCCAGAGTCCATGTAATATACCATCATAAAAAGTTTTCTTGAAATAATTTATTAAGGAAGAATTAAATACTGTCCCCTCTGGGTTCACAGATTATAATATTAGTCTCTGTAACAAGCTTTAGTGTTTCTATCTAATTTATAATTGCATATGTACAGATTTGTCATCCCAAGTATATTGTAAACTCTTTGAATTGAGTTAGGATATGTCTCCTTCTTCATTACTATTGTCCAGCACCCTGTCAGTCTATATCCATGTACCAGATGAGGAGTAAAACACAACATGAATGAGCACGTGTTCTGTGTTGTAAAATAAAAATATAAAATGCATTCATATAATCTGAAATCATTCCTCTAATATTCTGTAGGGATGCACCATAATTACCAAGAGATGCTGAAAAGTTGCTATGTGTTGACCCAAGTTTACATATTAATAGGTTTTAGGAAAGTCACAAGAGAGAAGGCTGAGCTAATGGAAAGAGATGAGTAACATAAAAATGAATCGCATTTGATCTTGTGTTGCCTCAAATGGCATGAACTGTTGACATGCACTAGAAGAAAGAATTTTATTCACTAGCTAAATCCAATTTGGAATCCTTCTCATTTTCCTCTCTAGATCATAAGTAATTCAAGCAATTTTTAAAGTTCATTTAGTTTGAAATAAAAAATGCTACTGTCACATTACATTTAAAAAAAGAATTATGGTTTCAAATATTTTCTCCTATCACAATTTGATTCATTATTAATGATTCAATTAGGAAAGACAGCAGTCCTTTTAGATGAAATAAAAATAAAAGCTGTATGTGTGTGGGAGAAGTTTTAACAAAGCTAAGATTCCAGAAAAAAGAAATTCCTCCTCATAATTGTCCAACAAAAAAATTACTATCCAATTTAGATAAACTTTAATTTGAAGAAATAAAGTTAGCTCGGGGAATAAAGTAGTTCTTTCTTGCTGATAAGATAAGATAAAAAAAAGAAACTTTAAAAAATTTTCACTTAATCCTCAGATACCAGAGTTTGTTTACAGTGGTTTTTTTTAATAGGGTTTATTTTGTGCATAGCACAATTCCTTAAACTCAACCTTTAAATAATGCAAGATTTGGTCTTGGAATTCCTCCTAATTCTCTGAATCTTGGTCTTTTAGCCATCTTGGGGAATATTTCATTATGTATTAAATGAAAGAATAATACCATTCATGTGGATTCCACGTTTCCTGGCAGAAAGCATAAATTAGAAAACTAGATAATTGAGAACAGGAATGAATTGAAACACTATTGTAATTTTGTGTACCAAGACACAATGTCATGTGTAAAGACAGAAATATATTTCTGGAAATTTCAGCATACATATACACAAGTTTTGTCATTAACTATGATTCCGTGACACTTGTGATTACAGGTATCAACTGTAATTAAGGAAATAAGACTGAAGTTATCACCTAGCATTTCTCTCACTGTTACATGAGAATACTCATGCATCTTGACATCTACTAAGTCCCTTCTCTACAAAGACCTAATAAACAGGCAGAAAATGGTAGAATAAAAACACCTTTGGATACGAATATTGATTCAGAATCATTCTATATAAAATCTCTCTTCAATACTGAGAATTTATTATCAAAATAAATATAGCATAGCCTTTATAATAAAACCCTTCCTCACTTGTAAGTTAGACCCTCCCCCCCAAAATGATTTTAATTTGTCTTGGAAAACAATTCATCCTCCAGTGAATTTGTGGAGTCAATGTTCAAACAGCTGCAAAACACTTATATCTTGAGTTACTATCTGAATAATCTGGTGAATAAACAAATGCCTAAAAAAATCCAAATATAATAAGTCCTTATCTACTGCTGGCTATTGAGTAGAAATTGAAACCCCTCCAGTACATGACCTAATTGTTGTCCTCACAGAAAGCCTCTGATGATTTTTACTACGAAAAGAAAGGAAAAAGACTACTATTGATGGTGTTTTCGTCCTCCAGGTATATGGATGGCACTGTTTAAATTCAGTCTAGAAGTAAAAGTGTCACTCTAGAGAATAATGGCATAAATTCCTTTGAAAGCTGTCTGATAAAGTATTTAGGGATTAGATATCTATAAATATGCAACAAAAATAGTATAATACTGAACATATGCCTTGTAGTCGACGGCATATTATACAAGAACTTCTCCTTCCAACACTGCCAACTTTTTCTCTCTCCTTAATAATTAAAAATTTCAGCATGAACAGCATCTTATATTGCCAAGTTTCTTTAAGATACTAACTCCACATGGATTCAGTATAAATAAATATACTGCATCACATAAGCTGATCAGCGTAGTCGTTGGGGGGAAGCCAAAGTTATGCATTATATTTTTTGTTTAATGCTTTAGATCTTGAGGATCAGCGAAATAACCACAGCCTGTTAAAAATAAATAAAAGTACCTGGCTCACGCCTGTAATCCTCGCTACTCAGCAGGCTGAGATCTGAGGATCCTGGTTCAAAGCCAGCACAGGGAAGGAAAAGTTCTTGAGACTCTTATCTCCAATAAAACACCAGAAAACCAGAAGTGGCGCTGTGGTTCTAGTGGTAGAGCACTAGCCTTGAACTGAAGAGCTGAGGGACAGCGCCCAGGCCCAGAGTTCAAGCCCCACGACCAACAACAAAATAATAATAATATAATAAAATAAAAGTAAAGCAAATGCGCACAGAAGAGTTTTAGGTCACTTACATGCCACTTCCAGAGACGCATTTCGACTCACAGCTTCTCCAAGATAGTTCCTGGCAACGCAAACGTAGCTCCCTTCGTCCGGTTTACTTCGGCGTCCATGGACAATGCGCAGGAAGAACAGGGAGCCACTGGGCAGCAGCATCCTGTGGGACCGGGGGTCATCCTTATCGGTCTCCACCCGCTCACCATCCTTGTACCATTCGATGGTGGGTGTCGGCCGGCCCTCGGCCTTACAGTTCAGAGTGGTGGGCTCTCCCTTAGAGACAATGACATCAGATGGGTGCTCCACAATCCGTGGCGGGAAATCTTCCTGGCGAAGACGAGATCCTAGAAAAATAAGACACAACCATGTCAGGTGTTAGCCTCGTACCTACACTCTCTGTTGCCTTTTGATTCATGATGGTGAAATTAAACTTTCCAATCATTTTACGGAATCACTGAACACTTTTGTTTTATGTTGTATTCTTCTTTTGGATTCATCTCCTATGTCTGAAATTCAGAAATACATTCCTATGTTAATTCTAATGAGTGAAGTATGACATGTTCCATGAACAGCCAGACAATTGTGGCTCAGCTATTAGGGAGGCTGAGATTTGAAAGTGGCAATTCATAGCCAGACTGCAGAGATAAATGCCAAAAACTTAAAAAAAATCAGACAAAGTTAATTAGCATACACATTATATGCATACTCATAAAGAATAAAGATAATGTACACACTGTACATTATGAAGACAAATAGCCCCAGAGACTCCTAACTCCAATTAAACAGCAAAAAGCCAGAAGTGGAGGTGTGGCTCTAGTGATAAAGCACCAACCTAAAAAAGTAAAGTACAGTAAAAACAAGTCAAGCAAGAGCTTGAGTCTCTGAGTTCAAGATGTGTATAAGCACACACACAAACATAAGAAAAAGCAAGAGATTCTCTTTATGGTCCAACAAGTGTTACGAATTGCCCAGGTTGCAGATAAAATATGCAGAGCTGCCAACTGAACTGAGGTGTGTCTAATTGGGAAATTCAAATTATGAGTCCCAATGTTAAATAAGTGTACCATAGTGGTCTGGGAAATGAATCACAGAAATACATTTTTTAAAGGCTGGGAGTTTGGCTCAGTAGTAGATTGCTTGCCTCATATGCATGAGGCCCTGGGTTTGATTCCTCAGCACCACATAAGAGAAAAAAAAGCCGGAAGTGGCACTGTGGCTCAAGTGGTAGGGCTCTAGCCTTGAGCTGAAGAGCTGAGGGACAGCGCCCAGGCCCAGATTTCAGGCCCCACGACCAACCAAAAAAAAAAAAAAATCCTTATAATTGTAAGTGGAGCACAATCAGAAGCCACTTCCTAAAAACAGGTAGCACTCAAACTGAGCTATAATGGAAGTAAATTCATTTAAATTAGCTTTAAGGAAAGTAAATTCACTAAGGGAAGAAGAGGTTCAGACCGAAGGAACACCATGAGCAGAAAACTTGGAAATTGGATTTGTGCACATTGTATTTTACACTCAAGAAGGAAGCTGATATGCTTGGCAAAAGTTCAACGTGGTCTTGGAACCTAAGACTAATGGCCTTTCAATATCATCCTACAGGAGTGTGACTGTTATCCTTTGCAACTAACAGATACTAAAGAGCCAATGACCCTACGATCTGTGCATTAGAAAGATACACTTTATTTACAGTATAAAAGATGAATATTAACAGAGTCAAACAAAGGAAAAACCCAAAAGGAATTACTTTAATTGTCTAACAAAAAATCTAATCTTGAGAAATGTTGCTATAGCTAGATAAAAGTAAGAAGATACAATTCATACCACAAAACAACTATTTGACAGAATTTGATTTCTCTAATGTCATCTTTCAAATGTGCATGGATTGACAGCTGGGTCGTAAGTGTAGCAGAATCAAAAGTTGCTGGACCTATACAAGATATGGCCTACAGAAAGGTGACAGGTTACAGTAGCGTGACCTTTGGAAGAGATTTGTTGAAGGCTTTATAGCAAGGGCTGGTACAGAATTAGCTGGCCTCTGAGTGTCTTTTGTTTCATTTCTCACAACCATGATTTCTTTCTCTCCCATACTGTACTCCCACCATTATGCCATCCATCATATTGTGTTACAGCCAGAAAGCACTCACTAGAGTCAGCAGAAGCTGGTGCTATGCCTGATTCCTCCAAAACTATAAGCTAAATAAACCTTTTAATATATAAAGCACCCCAATCTCAGATATTTCACTGTAGCTACAAAACACAGTAACACAGGTACCAAAGACGTCCTTGCCTTTGCAATGAAAGTTGAGCTATTAAAGAATATAAGAAATATGAAAGAAGTATTGATTGACATTTTGATTATTGTGTTGTTCTGGATACTTCTGTTGTTCTTGTCTTTTTGTGTGTGTGTGCTGGTCATGGGGCTTTAACTCAAGAGTCTGGGCATTGTCTCTGAGCTTCTTTGCTCAAGGCTAGCCCTCTCCCTCTTGCACTACAGCTCCCCTTCAGGCTTGTTAGTGTTAATTGGCCATAAGAACCTCAGGGACTTTCCTACCCCACCTGGCTTCGAACCATGATCTTCAGATCTCAGCCTCAATAGCTAGAATTATAGGCACAAAACACCAGCTCCTAGTGATACTTTTGATTTGTTAAGGAATCAGCATCCATTATTCATGGTACTATCCTAAAAACTATAAATTTTAAAAAAAGGTCATAAAAACAAAACCTATGTCTGAGGATGAGGTGGTGATCTGGATATACCTCTTCTCTAACTACAGTTTTTATTCCCAAGGTTAGAGGAGCAACCTTGAAATGTTAATCCTTTTCAGAAAGAAAGGGGAATGCTCATGAACAAATTAAATTCTGTTTATTAAATTAAAATGTATATTTTTAATTAACATTGAAAGTTAACTGGAATCACAATGAGGAGCAAATGTTACTGGTGTTTATTGAGCAGAATTTTGCTATTATTTCATAACATCCAATCTGTCTTTGATGGCCTTGAACTAAGCTTTCATTTTTTGTTATTAACGTATTATTATAGAAGTGATATACAGAAGGATTATAATTATCATGAGTCAGATGAGGAGGACATTTCCTTTGGCACAATGTCTTCTGTTCCCTATTCCCTCCCAGTCCCTCCCTCCCATCTCTACCCACGAGTTATACAGTCAGTGTCCAGTGAGCTCTACTGCTGCACTTTTTTACCTCAAGTTCTGTACCCTCACTCTAAAAATGAAAAGGAAGAAAGAGAGAGGTAAAGGAAGGAAGGAAGGAAGGAGGGAAGGCAGGAAGGAAGGAAGGAAGGAAGGAAAAAAGAAAAGAAGGAAACGGTCTCATTTCATATCTTGGAAGGGTTTTTTGTTTGTTTTTTGTTTGTTTTTCCTGTCATGGGGCTTGAACTCTGGGCCTGGGTGCTGTCCCTCAGCTCTTCAGCTCAAGGCTAGCTCTCTACCACTTAAGCCACAGTGTCACTTCCGGTTTTGTGAGTAGTTTATTGGAGATAAAGAGTCTCCCAGAGTTTGCTGCCTGGTCTGGCTTTGAACCACGATCCTCAGATCTCAGCTACTGAGTAGCTAGGATTACAGGCATCAGCCCCTGGTGCCTGGTTTGGAGGTTTTGTTTTAAAATATAGTTTTAACGAATTACTAGGGGAAGAGGAAATGGAAGGTAAGAAGGAAGAGAGGAAAGAAAAGGAAAAATGGGAAGGGAGGGAAAGGAATAACAAGGTTGAGGAAGGAATCTGGGTGGGGAGGGGCACACCTATAATCAATCCAAGCTACTCTAGATGCTGAAGTGGGAGGATTACAAATTCAACGCCAGCTCTAGCAAAGTTAGGGAAACCTTATTTCAAAAACCAGACTTGGAAAAATCTTATTCAGTGAAGTAAGCAGGACCAAAAGAAGTATAGTTTCCATGGTTTCCGTTATTCAATAATTAGTATACATCTAGGATAATCTAAGCAAATGAGCAGAATAGCTCAATAGCTTCCTACATATAAGATGATACTAAGCAAGATGAACTCCAAGACATGGATACAGAGATTTTTCTTTATTGGTTTTGTTTTTAATGTACTATGGGTTTTTTTTCTTTTGTGTCTTTTTCCCCTTATGGTTTATCCCCTGTAGTCACTGTATTTGATTTTGGTGCCCTAAGTATTGCATATATGTTTATCTGAATTAGGAAAGGGAAAAACAAATGATGAGTCAAAGGACAAAGGAGGAACCAATGCAACAGTGATACTAACAAGCCAATATGTTAGAAATGATCTGTACAACTTGGGGGGAGGGTTGGGGCAAAAATGGAATAAAAACGAGGGAGGGGGTTTGACAAGAAATGTACTCAGCACCTTACTTACATAACTGTAACCCTTCTGCATATCACCCTGACAAAAAAATTAAATTAAATAAAGAAAAGCAAAAGGACTGATAGCATATCCTAAATCCTGTAGTGCTTACTAGTTTGTGTTAATCCCTAGTACAAGGACATTTTAAAAAGTATAAGAAAGAAGAGGGCAGAAACTATGGTCTGTGAATTTATACAAGTTCACAACCTCATACTATCTGGTCCACCACAACTTGAGTACAGTCTAGAGTATCTGTTGTTTACTTTTCATTAGTACTTAATTCATTAACAAATTAGTTTTAATTTTAATTTTTATATGGACCCACAAACTTTTTTCTTCAGATTTCAAATAAAAACTTAATTTCAAATAAATAATCAGCATTGTTAATATTGCACATATAATACAAAATATTCTTGACATCCTTAGGAACAGATAGGAGGGCAGTGTATCTGAATGACTCAAATGTTCTAACTTCACTTAGAGCTACTATCAATTCTGACATCTGAAGTACTACTAATTGGGCAATCAACTAAATTTTAATTTAAAGCATTCTATTAAATTCACCCTAGATAGTTACTATAAAAGAAAGATAGTTAAAAGTAATTAGTAGGTCCTAAAGATGACATCCAAATGTTGACTTCCAGTGTCTAAGAAAGTAAATGTGTAGTCAGGTGACTTGTGCATAATTGAAAAGCCAATAGACACACAATGGGAACTCAAGATCTTCAGAATATACCGAGTTTTTTGTTGTTGTTGTTGTTTTTGTTTTTGATTTTGATTTTTTAAGGAATGGAGGGAAAAGGTAGAAGGCAGGTAGATCTAGGCTAAATCCCAAGAACCTATATACAACTTAATTTCAGTAAAATGAATCACCTATCACAAGTCATAACTTAGCCAGAAAACATTTCACTTTCCTTTGTTTAAAATGTGATTCTCAGATTACCTGCATCAAAGTGAGTAATTTCTCTTTGTTATAGAAAGCTTCACAAATTTGCCTGCCATCCT